GGAAGATGAGACTGTCAGGCATGTCCTGTGCGAGTGCCCGGAGTTATCGTCAATAAGAGAGTGTGTGTTCGGCGAGTCTTGGCCTACACCTGCCGATATAAAGGAGATGTCTCCCAGCGACCTGTCCACCTTCCTGGAAAGGACAGGATGGACGACGACCTAGGAGGACAACTCCTCGGGAGGATGTACAATGGGTCACATGTGGCCTAAGTGCGTGGGCTTACACTCACCCTCCCTACTCTACAGATACAGATGTTGTCGAGAACTGTTATCAATTTCATCACTATATTGCGAAAAGTGGATTTTTCAGAAATTAATTAACAAAATGTTTCACTTACAGTGGGAACAATTCAAACATGGTATGAAAATACAAAAACGGCTTGGCGGCGTGCAGTATGGAATCCGATAGCCTCGAATTCTCCTGCACACTCTCACAGATAGCGACGATGTTTTGGCAGATCTTGCGCTTTGTCGACGTAACAGGTATTTGTCGATCGTTTACTGAACTATTGGACTCAAGTGTATTCACCACATTGCGAATAGTCCTGTCGGTACTACGATTATGGCGACCGTAAAATGGGCGAAGCGCGCGGTACGTTGCCCAAACAGAACACCCATTTTGATGTGTGTTGCACGTTTTGTTGAGTGCTATATCCGTCCATGGTGATTTGGCAAAACAGAAACAAGATTTTTTTCAGGGACATAACACGAGCACTACAGGAAAATCCTGAAGGCGCTCTAAGAGCGGTGCCTGTGCGAAAGTAGCGATTCACATCAGATTTGAATCGCTGGAGATTAAATCTGGTTGGAAAAACGTTATCAGATGAACGCAGTTCTCCAAGTGAAAAAGTTCTTAAACAGTGAAGTTCGAGGTGTACTAAGTTGAACCTCATAACGATGAACAGCCACAGTCCGTCGCGTATTTCTGATATGTACCGCTCTTGGTGGAATCAAATCTGCCAGGTCACTTGAACGCTTACTGTGAAAGTATCTATAAAAGAGAGACAAATCTCCAACCTTTCTTTGATGTTCCAGGCTATCAAGGTTGCACGTGTTGTTCTCTTCTCCAGTCAGACGGATGATTTTTTTCTGGATGGAATCCAGCAGCTTCACGTTATACTTAGGGGCGGAGCTCCATACATGTCCAAAGACGGTCTGATCTAAGCTTTATACAGCACCAAAAGTTGCTGAGGTGTGTTCCAAGCTTTTGAGAAGCAGCATTTGATGACTGTTATCAATTGTCAAAGTTCGGAAGTTCCTGTTGGAAAACCATATATCAATCACCAAAATTTGGAAACTTTACTAATGATCCGAATCCTCATATAACAGAAGTATCATCTGTTGGGTATTTGGGATTTATTATGGACAAAACATTAGGGTGGGATAACCCCGTTATATATACTACCTGATTGGCTGATTGTGGAAATTAAAGAAAAACCGGGCTATGAAAAAGAAGGAAAACATACCAGCCGTCTATAAAGTAAAATATACTATAATGCTATATGATGGAATCGGCCGATAGGTCGTAAG